ACTGAGCAATAAAAATCGGCAACAAACACACACACACACACACACACACACATAGTTTCAAATCATTCGGTATGTCAGTTTTTCGATGGCTAATCTGGTTGTCGTAATCATAATCGTAAATTACTTTTATATCATATGACCATCATTATCGTCGTTCATGCCATGCATTCACGCGCAATATATCCCGCCTTTGCGTGTATATAAATTACGAAGAAAAAAAAAAGAACAACAACATTAGCTTCGCTTCATCTGCAGATGATGTTATCGATACATTGATTGATATCGCATCGTTTCGATTTCATGACGACGAATGCATGACGGAAGCTCATTCTGGACGAAAATAAGATATTGCAGGATAAATCGTCCCTCTTCAAAACGATAAAATGATAGTAGTCAATGCAAACGAGCTAATATCGAAATCAATCGATGATGTCCTCCGCGCATATTCGGTGATTGCTAGTGGACAGTTGGTCTTTATTCGATTCGTTGTTTTTTTTTCCGCTGGCCCATCGTTTTTCGTTATTTTCATAGTGCAGTGCAGAACTTCATAAAATATTCGGTTGATGTGATCGAAACGACCATTTGTTAAAAGTCCGCCCGCAACAACATGTGCGCTTCGATGATCAGCAAGCACGCTCATAAATATGTATCGAGCAATAAAAGCACAAGATAATCGCTTTTTACGCCATTTCGCATCACATTTGCCATAGATCAATTCATTGACTCATTTTCACCCATCCAAAATGGCCCATTTTCAATCAGTTCTCAGTCCTTTTCCGCTCCGTACACAACATAAACAGACAATCGATAATAAAGTGAAGATTTATTCGTGCCTTTTCCCCAGTGACAAGCGCACTTTTTTCCATTTTGTTAACACCTCTTTTGTGAGCGATTAACATGGAGGAAATTAATCGCTTTTTATTCTTGCAGCTCAAAAATGCGTCATGAAATTGGAATGATGAAAATTTACATCGAATTATTATTAACCACAATGGTTTATTTCATCATTTTTTTCTCGCTTTCTCAAGTTTTTGTTTGCTTTTTAAGTCCTGCGGTTCAGATTTCCGCTTCGTTTTCATTTAATCTCGCTCATGCGTCATGCTACTTCAAAACCAATCTTCTTCATTTAAATCAAAGCCACATACAGACTAAAATTCATTTTGAACGTTTCAAAGTTTCGAGGTTTGCGCTTTGCCAGAGCTGCTTGTTTGTTATCGTATTGATTGTATTTTGTCTAAATGTGAAAACTGGGTAAAAACCAATCTTTTTACTTACTGATACACTTTTGTCCGCGAAAACCGCACTTTGGCTCGGCCACCGGTGGTCCATTACCAACCCATCGAATTTCGTCGAATAATTGTAAATCCTATTTGTGATGATGAACGAAATAAAAAAAAATCCATCAAAAATCCCAGTCAATGCCAGTTGTACGTAAAATAGTAGTAAAAAAAAAACAACAAAAAACGAACAAATGGCTCACACATATTTCAATCAAAATTTATTTAGAATGCAAGCATCCAATTGAAAATCTTGACTTACTGTTAGTGCGAATGAATCAAACAATTGTAAACAGAATATTATTTTGAAATCGGACAGTAAAAAAGAAAACTCAAATTGAAATTAAAAGCAGATTGATTCAAGGCAAACTGAAATTGATGGCGATGATAAAGAAATAAATGATGATTGAAGGAAAACCGAAGAGATGAACGAGATTTTGTATCAAATTTGGATTGGCATTGCGCCAGCGTATGACGCAAATTCTTACCTGGATCATCAGCTGTTTGATTTTTAAAATAGTCGAGAATTGTTTTTGTGTGTGTAAAATGGAATATAGTTTTTGTCAACAAAATATTTGTTTCGTGTATTTTGTTCATGTTTTGTGTGCAAAAGAGAGAGAGAGAGAGAGAGAGAGAGAGAGAGAGAGAGAAGAAAGAGAGAAGCAGATTCAAAATGAAATTATCTATTAGCTACTGTGACCCATGGACTCCATGAAAATGTTAGTAACGATTTAACCTAATTTGAGAAAAGTTCTTCGAAGTAGCGAAGACAACAACAGCAAAAAAGAAGTAGAGCTTACTGGTATCTGATTACTGTCGGGCAAACCGAATGTACCGATTGGATATAATCCGTATGTCATTGATAAATTACTGTCTTGGCGGTGGTCTTTCTTCAACGCTAATATTGTATAATTTCCGGCTGCATCACCATTTTCATCGATGTACACATGATAGCTGTTTTTGCGAAAAAAGGAAAAACGGACGAATGAATGGTGATGGGGAGAAGACAATATGACATCAACACACAGTGAGCACATATTGGAGATAGTTTGAAATGAGAGTTGCAAGTGTTCCATTGTATGTGTGTGTGTTTTTTTTTTCGCTTCACCATTTGAAACTTACCCCATGGCACTTAAATAGCTACTTCCTTTCAATGAATTGATGATGGCTGTACCATTTCGTGGATTCTCCTTTGCTTCGAGCACACGAATCAATGCTTTGGTATACAAGTGCACTGCATCGTACAGATATGCAGCCTCAGCACGAATCTACAATTATCGCCCATAAAAATCGAATCAGAATTTTATACTCGAAACACATCAGCAGAGAGAGAGAGAGAGAGAGAGAGCGCGAAAGAATGAGAGAGCGGGGGAGGGAAATCAGTTCAATGCATTTCAAGCGGCGAACTCTCATTAATCGATTTATGGCAATTCATGAGAAGATTACCAATAATCTACGAAAGGATGAGAAAAAAGTGAATCCATGTTCCAATGATTACCTGTTTTGCGCCGCCAAAAAGACCCAACGGATTTGGATAGTTAAACGGTGGGAGTTCCATGTGATGATTCACCTAAACGAACAATAATGGAAAATGGGAGAGGAAAAATGAGCGAATAATTGAAAATAGTTTGGAAAACTCGGAGATGTCCCTTTATTGAATTTAGTTTCATTCCCTTTCTATTTTCTTTCGCGAATTTTTTTTGCATTTCTCTTTTGCGACTTCATTTTTATTCTTTTATCCTCCTTAACTAGCTTTTTTATGTAAAAGAAAATGGCACTTACCTGTCGGGCAAATTCGTCGAAATGAATTGGTGGTGATGGCACAATGCCCAAATACGATTTAAATGCAATGATACAGTCATCGTCGGTTTTGTCCTGAAGTAAACCACGTAGATATTTATCGGGTGCAGATGCATCGTACTGTTCAATATCGATGCCAACGACAAAGTATTCGCCCTTGTCTAAGAGGCCTTTTTGCTTCAAGCTAAGCATTAAACCGACATGTTCATAGTGATGGCCCAAAATCACATAAACTAGTGGAGAGTGGGAGAGAGAGAGAGAGAGAGAGAGAGAGAGAGAGAGAGAGAGCGCAAAATCGTACGCAATTGAATGAAATTGTATGCGGTATAATTGTGTTTTTCTTCTCTTTTTCCATTGTAATTAATGGAGTGCACCAGCATGAGTGTGCACCGCATGTGGTTTGCACTGCACTTAGCTAATAATGAATGGTACTTACTTCGTGTGTCAATATAAGTTCGTTCGACTAATTCTTCAAATGGATTTTTCATGTAACCATGATGGTAGACTGTGTTCCATGTAAACGTTGATTGCACTTTAACTCCGGCCGCTCTCAGTGTGTTAAGCACGGTTTCAGCGACCGCACCAAAGCCTTCATTCAATGAATCCAAGTACAAAAATGTCACCTAAGCCCAAAAGTAAAATGAAATGTAAAAAGGCGATTGGGAATGCTTATTCTGGTGAAAATTACCTGAGTCCAATTGTATGCCAGCAGCAATGATGCCACTGATTTGGAAATTTGTGTGTCTGGCGGTCGTGTTCGTGCAAATGTTGGAAAATCTTTTTTTCGCGACGTCTCATGATGTGTGCAAAACTTTATTATCCCAAAACCCATGAAATGGTATAGTAAAAAAAAGCGGAGCAATGCATTAAGTGAAGTAGAAAGATAATTGCAAAGAAAACATCATCGAAATGCGTTGAAACAAAAACGCATAAGTACTATTTCCAGAAAGGGAAAAGTTTCATGTCGCTGGCCACAAAATCCGAAACGACAAACTATGACAAGATCGAGAGAGCAGAGACAATCTCTCTTTATCTCGGTGGAAAATGGAAGAGTGAAGCTTTAGCAATTTAGTATTCCGAGCGGCTTTGATCCGGTGTAGCAAAGTCGAGAACAAAAACCGGGACAATATAAGCTAACGAGATACATGGAAGAAGAGAAAGAAAAAAAGAGAGAAGAGAAGAAGCTGAATAAAGAACGTGCTCAAACTTACATATGATATCATTGGTAAATTAAATGCAGCTGCCATTCGGCCCTCGTGAACACATGTTTCTTGTGGTCCAATATATGCGTACACTTTATCGGTCCAAAGTGCGGCCGTTTGTCGTATACTTGACACTTCTTCGCCATATGTTTCAGCCACTTTGAATTCTAAGGAATGACCCATTTCCTTCAATTTTCCATGATTATTGATTTCCTCCACAGCCAACGATATTGCACCCGATATCATCAGACCTAGTCGACATCATCCAGTGCCATTTCCAATGTAACGTCGAATCCATTCGGAAATACCAAAAAAAAACACCAACATTCACCATGCAAAAAATGATACAAAAAGAGAAAAATCAGAAAATCCCACAAAAATTGTATAAAAATGCATAGGAAAAAAGGACGAGCAAAAAACCCGAATACGTAATCCGAAACTTGAACTGAAATGATTTATTGCCGGAAGGAATTTCACCGTGTAACAAATTTCAACTTTTTCTTCTGCACATGAGAAATTCCGATTGCTTGTTTTAGAGGACCAAAAACCAAGCACTTTTGCATCATTAGTTTGTTCGAAACCACGTCTAGATTTTTTTTTATTGACACATATAAGACAAATTTGAGGTCAAAATGAGCAAATCACAAACATGAGCTTCGATTTGACAGGTAAAAGCAAATGATTTCTACCTTTTCTGCCTTTGAACATCTAGTATGATCCT